AAATTCAAATCATGACAAAAGTTTATATATTTTGCCTGGTCCCTATCATTTAATATACAAAATCAATGCTAAATAATCGTGGTTAGTTCTAATTTTATTTTTGTTATTCAAAGTTTTTACACAATAAGACAATCCAAAGTCAAACCGGGCAATGAATACCCGAAAAACAACGCTGTATCTTGTCCTGTGATTGGAATACCACTCACCATCACCAGTCCTTTAGGTTTAGGGAAGTAGTGCAAGTCTATACAGTAGAGTCCCGATAATCCGAACTTCGGTAATCCGAAAGTCCACTTAATCCGAAACCAAAAAATATATTTTTTAGACAATTTTTTAAATTTTTTTTTATTAAACTTTTAACACAGTTAGCTGTACCTTGTCAAAGTATTCTGTAGCGGCCGGGCGAGATAGACTTCTTTGTAGAGTATTTTAGTAAATATTTCATTTTTGTTATTAACATTTTTCATTTTCGTCCGCCAAATCACAAATGGATTTTATTAAGTGATAATGCTGCAGCCACTAGGTCTAGCCTTAAGTAATGTGAAAAACAATCCCGGGCTCGTGCCTGCGTCCTGAGACAAAAAAAATTTCAAAAAATTAAAAAAATTAAATAAAAAAAAAAATTTTATCCGAAATGGGCCTGGTCCCAACCATTTCGGACTAACGGGACTCTACTGAATATAGCTTCAAGGTCGTACTGGTCCACCCCTTCCTCCCTCCCGTCCTACTCGACTCACTGTTGCTGGCGCTCTTTTCGAGGTCATTGCCCAACCCCTCCCACCCTTTTATTGTGTTGCCTTTCTATTGTTTCTATTCTGACTTTTTTGGGGAAACATTAAATCTATTGTTTACGTAACAGCACAGTAGTAAGCTAGATTTTTCTACTTTAAAACAGTACTGTAAAAAAAACTATTACGCAGCGCCCCTAGTATCAGGAGACAAGCACGAGTTGACTATCACTTGACCATTTCTGCTTTATGTCTGTTCGTTCCAGATGAATCTAATCGAAAAGCATCACAGCCGATAACGACTAAACTGGATATCGGTATTGCATCATACCGCTTCTTTGTCGTTTGCTGTTAGGTTGTTGGAAACGTATTGCTGTAATTTTGTCCTGGGAAACTAATGATGGTTATGAAGATTTAGTTTTCTGTCCAAAACGTCAAAATATGATGTCTATCCGAAAAAGTCGGATATATAACGGATAGTGTCGGATATCAAATTTGGGCTCCAACCGAATCCAACCCGATTTTTCGGATATCCGCACACCTCTACTGCAGCTAGGGATGGTCAAGTCTCGAAATTTTGGGAAATTTTCGGGAAATTTTAAATCTCGTTACATGAGACGAGATTTCATTTTGGCCGAGATTTTTATCGAGACAAGAAAAAAAAAAATAAAAAAAAATTAAAAACTCCTGCAGAAAGTCAATGCAATACCCGCAATACAGGAGCGTGTTGTAGTTGCGTTTCCTTTGCGAAGGCGTTCTTATTTAATTAATTCTTTAAATGTAAATATTACTTGAATTATTTTAATAATATTACTTTAATAACATTTGAGAAGTTTTGTTAAGTGTAAGCAGTGTGAGGAATGTTTTATTACTATAAAAAGTCAAAACAAGTAACTATTTTATAAAAATTAATATTGCTTTTATTTTATGATTTATTTTATTTTAGGATAAGTTGAACTCTATCCTAACTGATATCACTATGTTTCCTAATCGTAGGCATTTTTAATAAGTTAGGCGTGATTAATAAAAAAATGTTATGCTGATGTTTTTTAATAAAAGATTGTAAATATTCTTGCCTATTATCATTATTTTTGTAATTAAAAAGTCATCTAACAATGTTACAAAATCAGGTAAAAATTTTGAACGTGCATTTCCCGTTGTGTATGAGAAGGGAAATCCCGTCTCGATCTCGTCTTGAAATTTTATGAGAAATAAAAAATCTTGTCTCGTCTCGTCACGAAATAAAAATCCAATCTCGTCCATCCCTACTGCAGACTAATCGAATTTCCATTTGCCTGATTTGATTTTCACTTAAATCTATTTAAATAACATTAGGTTTAATGCATAGCTAGGTTTGCTGCTACAGGGATAGTATTAAAGGGTGTTTTAAGCCTTAACAGTCTAATGGCAAGTATAGGTCGCTGCCCGCCATTTTCCCGGCTCCTCGAAAATGTCAACCTTTACAAACAAAAAAAAATCAAAAAGTTTATCTTTGCGGTTGAATGGCATTTGAGCAGTCAGGAAAATGACGACCTATACTCGCCGAATAATGAGTTAAAGCTTAGTATAAAATAAATAAATTTGACAAGTTTGATCAAAATATATCCATAAACAAGCAAACTACAACAGTTTACTTATTCACCATAAGAATAACATGGGAATTTTAAGTAAACCATTTTTGGAATTTTCTCCGTAACCAACAGCCATTCAAAAACACTTCTATTAACTAAATTATTTTTTTAAGGGCTTCAAAATAGTTAAGAGAGAAATTAAAACATTTTCTATTACGAGGGCCAAAAATGGGAAAAACCAATTTTCACCCCATTAAACTCTGTTCCCATGGTCCGATCATGCTGGTTCGCGAATTCATTCAAGTTTAACCTGCCTTACACCTTCTGCCTACAGATCGATTCACCATCAAATAAGCCCATCCGTTGTAAATGTTTCCCGAATCGCCCGTGGCCAATTATCAGTCCTACAATTAATTTGATTCTTCGCCTGTCTAGTCTCAAGAGGTCAGAGGCAACCTTTTTAGAAGGCCTAAACAGAGTAAGCTTGCTGACCCTAAGAAGGGGAGTATCGACCCAGCGTTTGCGGTGCTTTTCTTTGGCCCATGACGCAATCGAAGAACATGCGCTGTTTTGTGAAATACCACAGAAGGGTTGTGGGCCTATCATTGTTGTCGCAGAGGCAGTGTTTGCCAATCTGTCTGCAGCTTCATTTCCTTTTATGCCTGAGTGTCCAGGCACCCAGCAGAGCGTAAGATCATTTCTCCTACCCAACTCAGACACAGAAAGCAATGCAATCCCACATGAGCCTAGAGTTGAATTTGTAAGAGATTAGTGCTTTAAGGTGGCTTGTATGGATATTGATTGTTTTGTCTCTAATCTCTTTGATAAGATGTTCTCCAGCACAAACCAAGATGGCAGTGACCTCCGCTTGAAAAACAGTTGCGTACACCCCCATGGGAAGACAAATGCCAGTACCTTCATCTATCCAATGCACACCTGCTCCAGTGCCCCCATTTTTGATGTTAGAACCATCAGTGTAGCATTCTAAATCACCTGTGGGGATGGGCCCTTTTCCGCCAGACCACTTATGTGGTATCAGTACTTTGAAAGGCTTTCCAAAGGAGTATTTTTTGGACATGTGATCCGAAGGCAGGTCCAACTCATCATTGTGTACCACCTGAAAAATGTTGGAGTGCAATTGATGTAGTTGCGCAACTCTGACTACATTAGTTCAGTATGAGCTCAGCCATTGCCAGGGAAAGTTATAATCATTGCTAGCCTGTAGCTTAGAATGTGAGCTTTATTTTGGTGTAGGTTGGTACTAAAATTTCTTGTAAAATCCCGTCTGGCAATGCTTTTGTAGCGGTTTCGGGGATTTTCTCTCTTCAAGCCACATTACAAAACCACTGACTACTGATCCAGGCAGTGCTGCTACCTTTGGGTGTTTCAGGGAACTACGTCCAATCTCGGGGTAACGTAGTACAATCACCACTACTCTTTTGTTAATCGTCAGATTGAAATATTTGAATGCCAATTGTGTTCGCTATTATGGTACCGCGCAGAGCCTCCGCCCGTACCTCGCCGCCATTGGCGAGCGCCTGTTTGAATGCCTGCCGTACTCAACTTGTTAAGGTAGCATTTTAGAGTAAATCCAATCAGGCAAATGGAAATTGGCTTGTTCTGTAAGTTTGCTGCGGCGGGGGTATTTTTTACTTGAGATATTGGTACAAGATTAACAAATACAGGGTGTCCCTAAACTCTCTACAGACTTTTTAATGTATCATTCCTGAACAATTTGCTTAAATTTGGTATCGTTAGAATTGTAAGAAAATTGTCTAAATATAACATTACCACACTAGTTTTGATTACCTACAAAGTTTTTATGTTAATTAACCCTTCCCAGACGGGTGAAATCATGGCATAGGACGGGGAAAAATTAGAGGAAAAAATAAAAATAAATTTTTGATATTTGTGTTTTGTTATACAAGTATACATAAAAGAAACACAGTGGAACACATCATACTGTCAAAGTAATTTTTTTAATTGTTTTTAACTATGCGGATATATCCGCTAGCCGTCCTCGGATGAGTAGAAATGCAGCGGATATATCCGCCACCCGTCTTTGAAGATATGACCATGACAACGTTAGGCAATAAATAAAGAACAATATGTAAACAATAAATAGAGACAACGTAATGTTGAGCGCAAAACGTTGAGGGGGGAGCGTAGGAGTGGTGGTAGGTGCGCGGGAGGGGGGGGGGTGAGGCCAAGAGAGGGGTTAGCGCGGTAGAGAGGGGGGAGTGCGGGGGAGAGCGCAGCCATGGAAAGAGCAGGATAGTGGCGCCTTGGTTCCGCGAAACATCTGGTTACTGCTCAAGCACCTGCCAGTCTGTCTGAAAAGAAGGCGGATATAACCGCTTCCCGTCCGGGGCATAAAAAACCATATGCGGATATATCCGTCACCCGTCCGGGAAGGGCTAAGTTTTAAGATTTTTAATGGTGGCCATTTTAAAACCACACACGATAAAAATGAAAAATAATATATTTTTTTTAAAAAGGTCTCTGCCTTATTATCCATGCACCAAATACCAATTCACTACAAACAGCCATTATTAAATAAAAATAGCTTTGTGAAAAAAACACAAAATAGCGGCTTTTTTGAGTTTTTAAAATTTATTTTAGTCGTCTTTGCTCCAGAAATGATACCTTAAAAGGTCGGTAGAGAGTTCAGGGGCACCCTGTATTATAATGTATAACTTACCAGTGATGAGAGCGGCAATGGGTTTAGCATAGAATCTGGAATTTGAGAATCCCAAACACCCGTACATGCTGTTGGCTGTGAGCTTCAAAGCCATCTGCCTGATGTCATACTGCAAAATACCCCAAATATCTTCAGTAAATCCAGGAAATGAAAGAAGTAAAAGCATTGTACTATACAATTAGAAGAGATACAAATTATAACTCAGCTTAATATAAGTGTATACTGACTACTACAATATAGTATATTTAATAAAAAGCAGAGAAAGTGAGCCATTACATATTTGAGACCACCTGTTTCAAGTGCAAGATTTATTGTTCTATTTCTTATTTAGATAAAATTAAAAGATCAAAAGAAGCTAAACTGTTTTTAATAAAGACAAAAATACAAGAGAACATCAGTAAAGTAAATAATAAATAAAACACATATGGTTAAATAATAATTAAATAACCATAGAGGTTGAACATTTATCGAGCACTTTAAATATGGTAGAGAATATGTAATGACCAACTTTCACTCATATTTTGAACGTTGGGCTATTTTTTACTATTACTACAAACACTGATCTATATTTACCCTTTTAAAGAATTTGTTGGATTTTTGTATTCAGCAAATCGACCCCTAAATCTTTATTCTTATAGGCATATTGGGTATCAATTTAAAGCTTTTATCCTCTAGGTGTGACTTTTGCGGGTTTGGATGATATCCTGTGAAATCACTTTGTCCTATAGGCTTTTAAAATGTTAGAGTTTGTGCTGAATTCTGTTGTCCATCATCTGAACTATTTTGATTTTAAATTTGTTTACATCAAAACAACTGGCCATGGTACAATTTTGTTTCCATACAAAAATGGGGTTATCGTTACAGTTGGTGATGTTTTAGTGAATTCAAGTAAAATATTGTAATGTTATTTGTTTAAAATGAAGAAGAAAATTACTTACGTTATATTTTGTGTTTCATAGTATGTTTCATAACCGCGCACACAATGAAAATAATAGGGCACGCAACCCTACACCAGAATGTTTCCACAGGCAACTTTGTGTTGGTCTAAGCCACGCCCAGTCATTTGACAGAGTGAATGTTTTTATTAAAATTGCAAAAGGACAGTATGTTACTTCTAGCCAAGAAATAATTACAGACAATCGAGACTATGTTGTCTGGCCAGAAGTTCTGTGAATTTCTTAACAATTATCTGTGTGAATTATTTTGATATAGTCCAACAGCTAGCTATACTTTGGTGTGCAAACTTGCGTATACTCAATATTCTTGCATAACGTTTTAGTTTGATGTCTAGGGAGTTTAAAAAACCTGGGTGTTTACCTCCTACCCCCCACGTTTTCCGGCTATGATGTAATCAAAATGATGGCCATTGATTTTTAAAAAGCGTATATTTCGCAAACTATTTGTCGGATCGGAATGAACTTTTTTTTATTTGAAAGATAAGTTTAAATGCTATCTGTTTTACATTTACACATTTGTTGTAGTAAATATTTCGTAATTTTGCAAAAACTATCGGATCGGAATGAACTTTTTTTTGTTTGAAAGATAAGTTTACATGCTATCTTTTTATACATTTACACTTTTGTTGTATGTTTAGTGCATTTTTCGTAATTTTGCAAAAACCTATATTTTTTAAATATTTTTGTGTTATTTTTGTTGATTTTGTTTTATTGAAACAGTATCAGAAATAACTTAAAGAGAAGGTTGTAGCACGTTAAAAGGGCTTTACAAAAATACCAAATTCAATATGCTTTACTCAAAGGATCACGTCAAGAAACTAGAAAAATTGTACAAAACAAACTAATTTGGCGCAAAAACTCATATAAATCCGACATCGATGGCTGTGTACGAGTCATATATAGACAGTTTTACCATTCAATGTTGATGTATGCGTCTATAGACGTGTTTTTAACTCGGGTGTCACGTCTGGACCCACTGCAGTTTCCGGTTATGATGTCTTTAAAATTGCTACATGTTACGATTTCACCAACTATTTTACTTAAAATAAGACCATTACCCCCTTTTATACAAATAAAAGCACAGAAAATCAATGTAATTAGTCCATAGGAATGTTCCCACTATATAAATACCCCGGGTGCAGCAATCCTGTTGACTAAGCGAATTTCCATTTGCCTGGGTTGATTTTCAATTAATCTATTAAATTAACATTGTTTAAGAGTGCCTAGGTTTGCTGCTAAAGGTAAACTAATAAAGTGGATTTTTTATTATAATATTAATGGCTTAGTGTTGGATAAATAAATTTGCCAAGTTTGATCAAAATATATCCATAAACAAGCCAACTACTACATTTACAATATCGTCCATAAAAAAAACATTGGAATTTTAAATGAAAAATGTTTTTATTTTCTCCTTAACCAATAACCGTACAAAAACACTTTTACATACTACATTATTTGTTTTTTCAAGGTCTTTCAAAAGGTTCGGAGGAAAATTGATAAATTTTGTGTTATAAGGGTAAAAAAAATCCCATTTTAGTCCCATTAAACCCCTCTTTGAACTCCGTTCCTATGGTCCGATCACGCTGGTTTGCGAAATTATCCAAATATATCCCTTAAACTTTAACAAACGAACTTGCAAAAAGAGATGTCGTAGTATCCTTCAAAACAAAGAACAAACTTTCAAACATAATCACTGAGAGAACTAAACCAGATTCTGATAAAATTAATAAAACTGGAATTTACAAATTGATATGTGATGATTGTCCTAATTTTTATATAGGTCAGACAGCAAGATCGTTTTCCACTAGGTTTAAAGAACACATACCAAAGAAAAACTCAAAATCAGCCTACGCAAACCATCTTATATCCTCCAACCACAATTACACCAACATACATAATAACTTAGAAGTATTACATTTTTGCAACAAAGGGCATTACATGGACACTGTTGAAGAATTCGAAATTTATAAAGCATCAAAAAGTCAACCACAAAACATCCTGAACGAGAAATTGTCATTTGAATCCAACATTATTTATAACACCGCCATCCATATCACCAGTAAGCAGACAAGAAAAGAGCGAGATAAGGATAACACAGGGGTAGGGGTCAACGCTGCCGACACGTGACAGTCGCGACTTACCTTCCACCGGCGCCGTGTCTCGTGAATCAGCGTCTGGTCGACCAGTTTATTAAATGTATTTTCGTGTGTGTCGTATCCGTATGTGTGTCCCGTCTATTTATTTGTTTATATTTTTGACGAACTCTACATGAGGGATTAGCAAGACATTCTGGACCTGAAGATGTGCTATTTTTTAAGCACGAAACAGCTGTAGTCATCATACTACTAAACTGATCGTTTTGACAGAAAACAGGTAATTTAAACCTATATTAGTAAATATATCCCGCCTTACATCTTCAAACCAAATTTCATCTAACAATCTAACATTTGAGCACACAGGTTTTTGGCCTCTGGGGACATCAAAATAAAAAAATTAAGCGGTCCCGGGCCTAGGTATTACCATGAGACTTGCGATAATAGCTACTTTCAAATGTGGAAAATTCGCTAAAATGTGCTTTTGAAAATCACGTAACTGCCTTCCACCATTTGTGTCCAATTAATAGTGCAAAAGTAGGCTACTTGATTCTGTCGCAAATAAATATACAAATTAACTTAAAAAACAACTTTATTATTAAAAGACAATTTAGTTATTTGTGCAACTAGTGCGCAAAGGAAGCGATTGACTCACTCGAGAGAAACCCTTACTCACGAGCCGTAGGCGAGTGAGGAATGGTTTCTCGAGTGAGGCGATTGCACTTTGCACTCGAGTTGCACATTATATTTTTCCTACAGTTACCATAAAACAAATAAATTGGTAAAGAAACGTAACATATTTTTACACAGAAGTGTACTTTTAATGTGACATTTAATGATAAAACAGTATAACAGCTGACTAGCTGATTTACAGCCAGTGCTGCCAACGTATTTCGCGCGCAAACGACCTTGTCTGCATGTTACGCGCTCACTATTTCGTGCCTTCACGTTGCAAATCTGAAGCGAGTGAGACAATGTTTTTTGATGAGCGAATTGGCCACTTTGCTTTCTCAAATCAGTGAGAGAACATGTACATTGTTAGGTATCTTTAGGAAAAAGTATTTCCTTATCACACAACCAATGGACTGTAAACAATACACATTGTTGAATACCTATCAAGTACAACTAAATTTATAACTGCCCTGATTGATTTCTTTTTGTTTACCCGTCTGATACTTAGGTAACATACCAATTAATTAAATAAGTTACAACTTAACTTAATAAATAAATAAATAAATAAATAAAATTGTCTTTATTGGTTCAAGCGTTAAGTCAATTTTACAAAACTGTTTTTCTCTTACAACTTTCGTCATCTAATATCTAACAAACAATTAAAACCAAAATAAGTACATAAGACTAAAAGCTATACATGAAATGAGCACATTTTTATATTCGTTTTGAAGCCTGTTAAACCTTTTTCTCTTATTTTTGAAGGGACAGAGTTGTACAATTTAGGTCCGAAATAAGCAAAGGCTCTCCGACCTACCTCATGGCTGACTTTAGGCACGTGCAACAAATCGTTCTGTCGGGTGCTGCGCTTAGAAACGTCCCGCCGGGCTGGCAGTTTTTCTCTCAAGTAGAGTGGCTTACCTAGGGATAACGTTTTGTGTATGAGAACACAAGTAGAGGCCTTACAAAAAACTTCAATGGGCAGCAATTTCGCATCACTTCTGAATGTACTTACGTATTCTCTTTTTCTTAGGCCATAAATGAACCTGACTGCTGCATTCTGCGTTCTCTGTATTTTATTACAGTCACCTTTTAATATACTGTTTCCATATGCTGGAAGACAGTATTCAATAGCAGAGAGAACTAGCGACTTGACTATCTGGACCCTAGCGTCCTCAGGCAATAGGTATCTAAGCCTATACAGTCCGCGTAATCTACCCAATGCCTTCTGACACGCATAGGACACATGCTGCGAGAGGGTGAGGTTGTCATCTAATATCACACCAAGTGTTTTTACTTGGCTACATATTTCAAGGGCATGTCCAGAAAGAGATATCTTACCATAAGCCCCAATTTTTAGTGCATTCTGCAAGTCAGGAGGGGCAACATGG